ACTCTCGACCTGTGTACCTACACCACCGTTCAAAAGTTTGGGGTCACTTAGAAATGTCCATGTTTTCGAAAGAAAAGCAATTTTTTTGTCCATTAAAATAACATAGAATTGATCAGAAATACAGTGTAGACATTGTTAATGTTGTAAATGACTATTGTAGCTGGAAACGGCTGATTTTTAATGGTATATCTATATAGGCGTACAGAGGCCCATTATCAGCAAACAACAGTCCTGTGTTTCAATGGCACGTTGTGTTTGCTAACTGGCTCTAACCAGAATAGAAAGAGGAGTGGAAGGCCCCGGTGCACAATTGAGCAACAGGACAAATACATTAGAGTGTCTAGTTTGAGAAACAGGCTCCTCACATGTCCTCAACTGGCAGGGAGTAGTACACAGCGTTGTACGAGATCTTCAGTTTCTTGGCAATTTCTCGCATGGAATAGCCTTCATTTCACAGAACATGAATAGACTGATGAGTTACAGAAGAAAGTACTTTGTTTCTGGCCATTTTGAGCCTGTAATCGAACCCACAATTGCTGATGCTCCAAATACTCAACTAGTCTCAAGAAGGCCAGTTTTATTGCTTCTTTAATCAGCACAACAGTTTTCAGCTGTGCTAACATAATTGCAAAATAGTTTTCTAATGATCAATTAGCCTTTTAAAATGATAAACTTGGATTAGCAAACACAACGTGCCATTGGAACACAGGACTGATGTTTGCTGATAATGGGACCTATGTAGATATTCCATTAGAAATCAGCCGTTTCCAGCTACAATAGCCATTTACAAAATTAACAATGTCTACACTGTATTTCTGATCAATTTGATGTTATTTTAATGTACAAAAAATTGGTTTTATTTAGAAAACAAGGACATTTCTAAGTGATTGAGTAGGCCTATATCTTTGTTTAATCTAATTAATCAATTTATTAACAATATAAATCCTTATTATTTTGTAAGACATTTTTACATGTTGCAATAAAGTTGACTAAAGTATAAGCTCATCTTATGTTTGTTGGTATTGTAGTAAGTAATTACATTGAAATACACTTCTTTTAATCTAGCTAAATCCTGTGTAACGCCTATTAATTACATTAAACGTATGCAGATATTACATGTACTCTGTGGTGTACTAGTGTGTTTATTTTCTCACTTGGGTAGTGCTTCCAGAAGCTTTAAATTTAGGGACAGGTTGTCAGGATGAATAATGTACTATATACAGTACATTAGGAAAGTATTCAGACCCCTTGACTTTTTCCACATTTTGTTACACTACAGCCTTATTCTAATATATATATATATATATATATATATATATATATATATATATATATATATATTTTAAACAACATAAATCTACACACAATACCCCATAATGACCCATCTGTGTAAAGGTGAGACTCACAGACACGTACAGTACCAGTCAAAAGTTGAGTTGAGGTTGGGTGATTGTGGAGGCCAGGTCATCTGATGCAGCACTCCATCACTCTCCTTCTTGGTCAAATAGCCTTTACACAGCCTGGAGGTGTGTTGGGTCATTGTCCTGTTGAAAAACAAATGATAGTCCCACAAAGCGCAAACCAGATGGAATGGCGTATCGCTGCAGAATGCTGTGGTAGCCATGCTGGTTAAGTGTGACTTGAATTCTAAAAAAGTCACAGACAGTGTCACCAGCAAAGCACCCCCACACCATCACACCTCCTCCTCCATGCTTCATGGTGAGAACTACACATGCGGAGATCATCCGTTCACCTACTCTGCGTATCACAAAGACACGGCAGTTGGAACCAAAAATCTCAATTTTGAACTCATCAGATCAAAGGACAGATTTCCACCAGTCTAATGTCCATTGCTCGTGTTTCTTGGCCCAAGCAAGTCTCTTTTTCTTATTGGTGTCCTTTAGTAGTGGTTTCTTTGCAGCAATTCGACCATGAAGGCCTGATTCACAAAGTCTCCTCTGAACAGTTGATGTTGAGATGTGTCTGTTACTTGAGCTCTGTGAAGCATTTATTTGGTTCTTTGGTCTTGGCCATAGTGGAGTTTGGAGTGTGACTGTTTGAGGTTGTGGACAGGTGTCTTTTATACTGATAACAAGTTCAAACAGGTGCCATTAATACAGGTAACGAGTGGAGGACAGAGGAGCCTCTTAAAGAAGAAGTTACAGGTCTGTGAGAGCCAGAATTCTTGCTTGTTTGTAGGTGACCAAATACTTATTTTCCACCATAATTTGCAAATAAAATCATTAAAAATCCTACAATGTGATTTTCTGGATGTTCTTTTCTCATTTTGTCTGTCATAGTTGACGTGTACCTATGATGAAAATTACAGGCCTCTCTCATCTTTTTAAGTGGGAGAACTTGCACAATTGGTGGCTGACTAAATACTTTTTTTCCCCACTGTACCACTTTGTCTCGAGCATCCACAGTGAGGGTAGATCAGAGCATATGTGCATGATTCAGACTCAGTTTGCTGAGGGATCATTAGAACAATGTATCTGTCACGCCCTGGCTCTGGGGACTCTTATATGTTGAGCCAGGGTGTGTAGGGTCTATGTTTTGTGTTCTATGTTCAGTTTCTAGTTCATGTGTTTTCTAGGTTGGCCGGGGTGGTTCTCAATCAGAGGCAACGAGAATTAGCTGTTGCTTGTTGTCTCTGATTGGGAACCATACTTAGGCAGCCTGTTTTGCACTTGTGTTTTGTGGGATCTTGTTCCGTGTTGGTTTGTGTTCATGACCGAGGACTTCACGTTTCGTTTTGTTGTTTTGTATTTTGTATCGTGTTGCTAGGACACTATTAAAGAGATGTACGCATATCACGCTGCACCTTGGTCCGTTTCATCCACTGTTTGTGACGAGCGTGACAGTATCAAACGGGCAGACCCATTCAAAGTGAAGCTTATATGAATATGGTGAAATCCTTTTTTATTTAGTCAACTTGTAAAGTTGCATGTGTTAAGTAAAAGTAAAAGACGTCAGTAAAAGTGGGCAATATGAGTAGCTCTGTACTGATAACAATATTTATGTATTTCTTTAATTTTTTATTTTTTTTTACATCACTTGACAGTGAACAAACTGTGGCCGGGTAAGATATGTGTAGTGCCGGAACCACACAAAATGACCTCCTCTGTCGTCCACAAAGCTGTTACAGAAGGTACAGTGAGGGAAAAAAGTATTTGATCCCCTGCTGATTTTGTACGTTTGCCCACTGACAAAGAAATTATCAGTCCATAATTTTAATGGTAGATTTATTTGAAAAGTGAGAGACAGAATAACAACAAAAAAATCCAGGAAAACGCATGTCAAAAATGTTAAAAATTAATTTGCATTTTAAGTAGGGAAATGAGTATTTTACCCCCTCTCAATCAGAAAGATTTCTGGCTCCCAGGTGTCTTTTATGAAGGTAACGAGCAGAGATTAGGAGCACACTCTTAAAGGGAGTGCTCCTAATCTCAGCTTGTTACCTGTATAAAAGACACCTGTCCACAGAAGCAATCAATCAATCAGATTCCAAACTCTCCACCATGGCCAAGACCAAAGAGCTCTCCAAAGATGTCAGGGACAAGATTGTAGACCTACACAAGGCTGGAATGGGCTACAAGATCATCGCCAAGCAGCTTGGTGAGAAGGTTACAACAATTGGTGCGATTATTCGCAAATGGAAGAAACACAAAAGAACTGTCAATCTCCCTCGGCCTGGGGCTCCATGCAAGATCTCACCTCGTGGAGTTGTAATGATCATGAGAACGGTGAGGAATCAGCCCAGAACTACATGGGAGGATCTTGTCAATGATCTCAAGGCAGCTGGGACCATAGTCACCAAGAAAACAATTGGTAACACACTACGCCGTGAAGGACTGAAATCCTGCAGTGCCGCAAGGTCACCCTGCTCAAGAAAGCACATATACATGCCTGTCTGAAGTTTGCCAATGAACATCTGAATGATTCAGAGGAGAACTGGGTGAAAGTGTTGTGGTCAGATGAGACCAGAATGGAGCTCTTTGGCATCAACTCAACTCGCAGTGTTTGGAGGAGGAGAAATGCTGCCTATGACCCCAAGAACACCATCCCCACCATCAAACATGGGGGTGTTTTTCTGCTAATGGGACAGGACAACTTCACCGCATCAAAGGGACGATGGACGGGGCTATGTACCATCAAATGTTGGGTGAGAACATACTTCCCTCAGCCAGGGCATTGAAAATGGGTCGTGGATGGGTATTCCAGCATGACAATGACCCAAAACACACGGCCAAGGCAACAAAGGAGTGGCTCAAGAAGAAACACATTAAGGTCCTGGAGTGGCCTAGCCAGTCTCCAGACCTTAATCCCATAGAAAATCTGTGGAGGGAGCTGAAGATTTGAGTTGCCAAACGTCAGCCTCGAAACCTTAATGACTTGGAGAAGATCTGCAAAGAGGAGTGGGACAAAATCCCTCCTGAGATTTGTGCAAACCTAGTGGCAAACTACAAGAAACGTCTGACCTCTGTGATTGCCAACAAGGGTTTTGCCACCAACTAAGTCATGTTTTGCAGAGGGGTGAAATACTTTTTTCCTTCATTAAAATTCAAATCAATTTATAACATTTTTGACATGCGTTTTTCTGGATATTTTTGTTGTTATTCTGTCTCTCACTGTTCAAATAAACCTACCATTAAAATTAGAGACTGACCATGTCTTTGTCAGTGGGCAAACGTACAAAATCAGCAGGGGATCAAATACTTTTTTCCCTCACTGTATGTACGTTTTACCAATAACTCAAGGTTCAGACAGGAAACGGCATGCATTTGTTTAACCATTTATTAGAAAAGATTATAATACATGCAATATGTTAGTCTTGATGTTAGGCTCTGCTCTTTCGGGGTATCTCACTGCCAGAGTGTATATCATGTTAAGATAATAATAATTACAGGCAGTGAGCAAGGTACGCTGTACCAATCCCTTAGCAGGAAGGAAAAACAGAACCAAACAGGTAACATATCATACGGAGTGGATGATGGACATCCACAAATTAATACATATCATACGAAACGTAACATATGATACTAAATAAAGGGAGACAGATTTCCATTTACTATGTTACGTCTACCCCTGAGTCCAGGTTGACCACACAGCTAGTACGATACTACTCCAGGGAGGTCAAGAAATGTTTTTTTAAGCAACTTGGGTAAATCCATATCCAAAGCAGAAAAAGGTTATAAAAAGTATCATTCACACAACTGTAAAGCTCCCACAGAAGTGATGTTGACATTTCCATCAAAGTGTTAGCATTGAAGTTAATCCCATTCTGGCATAACCAGTAGAGCAAGAGATTGTAAAATACTATTGAAAGTACTGTGAAGCGTAGCAATGATAATATCACATATAACATAACAAAACAATCACCATACAAACACACCCGGTCCTGTCAAAACCGAAATCCATAAAGCCATCCAAGCATGATGCGGTTTATTCAGTACAGTAAGGTCATCATTCATTATGTCAGGCAAAAATGTCAGAAGTGTCTCTCCCAGTCCCTCTTTTGGGTAAAAGCCAATCCACAACAGTTTTGGTCTTTAAGAAAATGTCACACTGACGTCGACAACGCAAAGCTTGATCCAAAATCCCAATAGAGGAAGTTTGGTGTAAATGTGTCCTCTTCTCCAACTAATAGGTAATCACCCCATTCACCTCAAACAGGGGACGATGACAGACGTGTCTAATAATCATCTCCCAGCCAGGTGTGTGTGTGTGTCTACAGCCTAATGTTCCTCTTCTGCATGTCCTCGTGACAGATGCCCCCCAGGGTGTTGAACTTTGACCCCAGGTCCTCTAGGAACTTCAAGTCATCCCCTAGGTTGCTTAGCGATAGCTCATCCAGCGACTGGCAATTGCTGCCTCTCCCCTCGTAGCCGTACTCGTAGGATTGGTAGTCCATCTCATCTCCAATCATATACAGCCTCTGGGGAATGAACACGCCAACGGTAGAGGATGTTAACTATTACATTTTTACATAATTAAATGTTTACAAGATCTTTAAAAAACTCTCAATACTAGTAACTAAATAAGTACTTATAATAGATCCATGGGAGGGATATTTCTTATATTAAAGAATGTTTGTAGTAACAAAAAGACAAATATCGCCACCATTAGTTACTGTTTTCAAGACCACACGGTGCATCATACACATCTTGACATAATTGTCTGTCTCTGTTCTCACGGCACACGCTACTTGTGACATTTTCCCTCGTATTGTACAAACACCTGGTGTTACACAACACTCTCCCACGCTAATACAAAGGAGTTGTGCTAAAATGCCTCATAGTGAGGGTTACGGGTCTCATTTTGGGATTACACATGGGCTGGCCTGAGGTGGTTCCCCCTCTGGGGCCCACAGTTCCCTCTCTGGGGCCCTTGGGCCAGTGTACACACAACCGGTTCTGTAATGGCTGTGCTTCTGAGGGGCAGGTGTCATACCCGGTCTATGTGCTCTGAGATGTGCTGGTCCGACAGCAGGCTGAAGGAGCGAGAATACCTCGAAGAGTTATTCTAAGGAGAGAAGGGAGGAGCCCGTGAAAACACAGGAAAACAAACATGGAGGATTGATGGAGGAACAACAGTTTATGTAGTGTGTATGTGTTAATGGTGGGGTGTCAAGTAGACCAGATTCTGATAGTTACTGCACAGCAACACTTACCCTCATGGTATTGTTCCTGCTTGTAGTCCACTTCTGGTACTGCTGTTAGAAAATACATATTCACATTGTTGATATGAGAATGATCGACTGCATTAATGCACCCACTTCACTGTATAAAACCTTGATAACCTGTAGTTAATGTAATAACCTGTCATAAATTGTATCTCTACAACTGTCGAATCATATACAGTGCCTCCAGACTTATTCCACATTTTGTTGTATTACATCCTGAATTTAAAATTGATTAAATATATATATTTTCTCACCAATCTACACACAATACCCCATAATGACAAAGTGAAAACTTATTTAGAATTTCTTGCACTTGTATTAAAAATGAAATACAGAAATATCTCAATTACATAAGTATTCACACCCCTGAGTCAATACATGTTATAATCACCTTTGGCAGCGATTACAGCTGTGAGTCTTTCTGGGTAAGTCTCTAAGAGCTTTGCACACCTAGATTGTACAATATTTGCACATTATTCTTTTAAAAATTCTTCAACCTCCATCAAGTTGGTTCTTGATCATTGCTAGACAGCCATTTTCAAGTCTTGCCAAAGATTTCCACTCAGGAACATTCAATGTCGTCTTGGTAAGAAACTCCAAGCTCATCATTAAGCTTGGGGCCCTGGGTCTGAACCCCGCCTTCTGCAAGTGGGTCCTGGACTTCTTGATGGGGTGCCCCCAGCTGGTGAAGGTAGGAAACAACATCTCCACTACGCTGATCCTCAACACAGGGACCCCACAAGGGTGCGTGCTCAGCCTCCTCTTATACTCCCTGTTCACCAATGACTGCGTGTCCACGAACGCCTCCAACTCAATCATCAAGTTTGCAGACGACACAACAGTATTAGGCCTGATTACCAGCAATGACGAGACAGACTACAGGGAGGAAGTGAGGACCCTGGCGGAGTGGTGGCAGGAAAATAACCTCTCCCTCAACGTCAACAAAATGAAGGAGCTAATTGTGGACTTCTAGACACAGCAGAGGGAGCACGCCCCTGTCCACATCGACGGGACCGCAGTGGAGAAGGTGAAAAGCTTCAAGTTCCTTGATGTACACATCAATGATAATCTGAAATTGTCCATCCACACATACAGTGTGGTGAAGAAGGCACAATAGTGCCTCTTCAACCTCAGGAGGCTGAAGAAATTCGGCATGGCCCCCTCACAAACCTTTACAGATGCACAATTGAGAGCATCCTGTCGGGCTGTATCACCGCCTGATACGGCAACTGCACCCCCCGCAACCGCAGGGTACTCCAGAAGGTGGTGCGGTCTGCCCGACACATCACCGGGGACACATTGCCTTCCCTCCAGGACATTTCGCTACACCCGCAATAACATCTGCTAAATATGTGTATGTGACCAATACAATTTGATTTGATTTGTATATTTGGCCATGTGTTTTAGGTCGTTGTCCTGCTGAAAGGCAAATTTGTCTCCCAGTGTCTGTTGGAAAGCAGACTGAACCAGGTGTTCCTCTAGGATTTTGCTTGTGCTTAGCTCTATTCCATTAATTTTTATCCCAAAAAACTCCCTAGTCCTTCCTTGCCGATGACAAGCATACCCATACCATGATGCAACCACCACCATGCTTGAAAATAGAGTGGTACTCAGTGATGTGTTGTGTTGGATTTGCCCCAAACATATCGCTTTGTATTTAGGACATTAAGTTAATTTCTTTGTCACATCTTTAGTGTTTTATTGCAAACAGGATGCATGTTTTGGAATATTTTCATTCTGTACAGGTTTATTTCTTTTCCCTCTGTTATTTAGGTTAGTATTGTGGAGTAACTACAATGTTTATCCATCCTCAGTTTTCTCCTATCACAGCCATTGAACTCTGTAACTGTTTTAAAGTCACCATTGGCCTCATGGTGGAATCCCTGAGCGGTTTCCTTCTTCTCTGGCAACTGAGTTAGGAAGGACGCCTGTATCTTAGTAGTGACTGGGTGTATTGATACACGATCCAAAGTGTAATTGATAACTTCACCATGCTAAAAGGGCTATTCAATATCTGCTTCTTTTATTTTTACCCATCTACCAATAGGTGCCCTTCTTTGCGAGGCATTGAAAAACCTCCCTGGTCTTTGTGGTTGAATCTGTGTTTGAAATTCACTGCTTGGGACATTCCAAAAATATATACAGTGAGGGAAAAAAGTATTTGATCCCCTGCTGATTTGTACGTTTGCCCACTAACAAAGAAATGATCAGTCTATAATTGTAATGGAGGGTTTATTTGAACAGTGATAGACAGAATAACAACAAAAAAAAATTATAAATTGATTTGCATTTTAATGAGGGAAATAAGTATTTGACCCCCTCTCAATCAGAAAGATTTCTGGCTCCCAGGTGTCTTTTATACAGGTAACGAGCTGAGATTAGGAGCACACTCTTTTTTGCTCCTAATCTCAGCTTGTTGCCTGTATAAAAGACACCTGTCCACAGAAGCAATCAATCAATCAGATTCCAAACTCTCCACCATGGCCAAGACCAAAGAGCTCTCCAATGATGTCAGGGACAAGATTGTAGACCTACACAAGGCTGGAATGGGCTACAAGAACATCGCCAAGCAGCTTGGTGAGAAGGTGACAACAGTTGGTGCGATTATTCGCAAATGGAAGAAACACAAAAGAACTGTCAATCTCCCTTAGTGACATACTGGGTTCAGCCTTCAAGGTACAGTATTATTTCATCCATCTCAAGGCATCGGGGGAAAAGTTGAACTTGGACAGTTTTGTGATGAGAACCTCATGGTTAACAGTATCAAAGGCTTTCCTTAGGTCTAGAAATACAGCCCCAACAACGCCCCCTTTGTCCATCTTGGACTTCACATTTTCCAGAAGAAAGCAGTTGGCCATTTCTGTGGAGTGGTTTGCTCTGAAGCCAAACTGCATGGAGTGTAATGTGAAGGGGCTGTTGTTGAGGTGGGCAATCAGTTGCTCTGCTCCACACTTTTCAGCAACCTTCGACACCACAGGTAGTATACTAATGGGCCTGTAGTTACTCACGTCAGCAGAGTCAACTGATTTAAAGATGGGCATTATAATGGCCGACCTCCAGACCCTTGGAAACACCCCCTGACCAATAAACGTGTTGGTGACCTTAGTAATGGGGCCAGTGAGTGACTCTTTGTAGTTTTAAGAAAGGTAGAGTCCAGCCCAAACACATATTTGTCTTTAGATTTCTTTAGTGAGCTAATCACCTTGTTCACCTCTGACTCAGAAACCTCCCTTATTGTGAAGACAGGTTGAGTCTCATTCACTGGCGCTGAGCCCAAGTAACCAGTGGAGAAGTTATGCTTCAGTACCTTGACAGAGACAACAAAGTATGAGTTGAAGCCTGTTGCTATTTCGACTGCATTCTGTGTTAGACTGCCATTCACATTGATTTCTGGTCTTTTTACAGTGTTGCTATTGTCTTGCCCTGTCAACTTCTTTAGATTCTCCCAGATCAATTTTGAATTTTCCTTAGCTTCACCAATTATGTTAATAAAAAAAGTTTTGCCTTGGCCTATCTGATTTCTTTCATCACCTTATTTATCAATATGGTAAACCTACATCCATCATGCTCTAATTTGGACTTTAGGGATGTTTTTAGTGCATGAGCTCATTCTTTCATCAGTTTCTCCATTTAGCCAAGGAAGTGCTCTTTTGGCCAGGTTTGGATTTGGTTTTCCTTGTAGCCATTTGTAGTCTGGATTGTGGATAGAAAAACCTGACTGTCAGCTTCCACATTTGAATAGGATAGAAGATCATTCCAGTTAACTCACCCTTAGGTATTCTGAGTTGATCAGGCTTAATAACACTAGAGAGGTAAAACATGTTCAGTAGAGAGGTTAACCCTGTTCAGTAGAGGTTAAACCTCTTCTTAGAAAGCTGTCTGGCTATAAGTGTCACATTATAACCATAGTAACCATGTAGAATTATTTAGTCACTCTCTGGTTTATTAATAACCAACAGATCTAGCTGTGTGAGGTCAAAGGTATTGTAGTGGTAGTGGTGTGTATTCATGGATGCCAAGGAAAGCCAGGCTTCCCCAAAGAATTTACCAAAAATTAATTTAAAAAATCCCGTATATTTCGTCTCTGTGTTTCATAATTTTCCTTCGATTTGCAAGAGGCTGAATGTACAGTATCTAAATGGAGAAAGCATCAGAGTAGGCGAAACAGCGCTCCTCTGTCTCTGTATGTGTAAGCCATCTATCTGATGCTGTCTGGTCAAAAAGAGTATGACATTGTTGCCACCCGTAGCATTGCATGCAAGGGAAGCCAGCGAGCATTTGGCCTCCCTTGATAAAAAAAGTATAAAATAATAGCCAATAGCTAAACTGAGTGAGCTCAAATGTGAATGGTCCTGGCGCACCAAAGAAAAGTGTCAAGGGAAGCCAGTTTGGATTTGGCTTCACTCCAATCACATCACATCGAGAGCAATACGTCATTGACAGAAACAACTTGAATTGTTGCCTCTTGCTGTGTTGTTGTACTCCGGTGGCTAGCTAGATAGCTATAATTGTCCCTTTCATAAATTAGCCATGGATGGACTTGTGGCTTTACTTCATTCTCCACACTGGCTAATAATTATAATGGTGATTCTGATCCAACCATACATTCATACATTGTGCCCCTTGCCTGAGAGGATGGAAGTTCAATATGTAGCTAGATGTTGAAGGCAATGTTAACTAGCTAATGTTGCCTATGAAAGGAAGTTAGGCTAGCGAGCAAGCATTTTAGCCAGGTAGCCTAGGACAACAAAAAATAAATGCTTGTATTGTATGACGGTTGAGGTTGGACAGGGTCATAGACTTTCATGTTTTGTCAACATGAAAGAGAGGAGGATGGCGTTGGCATTTCTCTAGAAGTAGGGTGAGTCAGCATGTTTTTTCTACTTGCACGAACGCACACGCAGAACACACACACACACACACACACTCAGAAATCATGGACAGTCTTTGTGGTTCTAAATCAATAGTGTTTAGTAGTCCGAAAATGTCAGAAACATTAACTTGCTTTACCATGCTATAGGTCATGTAACTGTTTGTTACATGCAAAATGCTTTGTGGACTTCACCGGACAGAGGTTGATCTCTGTGGTTGAATTTATTCTGCCCCTGTGTCTTCTTATTGTCTTGGCATTAGGCTTATATATCACGGGCGCAAGACATATGAACTAACAGGGTATAGAGCAAACAACACAATTATCACAACACATATGTTGTAATATGGCTTTTTTTTCTGGCTTCACTTCCCCAGTGATTTTACCCACACACAGCTACTGCCCTTGGGGTCCCAAGGACCGAGTTTGGAAAATCCTGTTCTAGTTCATTATCACATGACCACTCAATTTGTTTACATCGGATTTGTTCTTTAATGTAAATCATCAGACCCCCTCCTCTTCCTACAATCTTCTCTCCTGAAAACATTGTAGACGGGTACAATCAAAGCAGCAAATGGAACATTTTTATGGAGCCATGTCTCTGAAAGGCAGAGGAAGTCAAGGTTGGAGTCCTTGAAAATATGTTGAATTCGACAACTTTTTGGAATGACACTGCGAATGTTCACGTACCCCCCTAGTAGTCACTTGGGCTTAGCTCGTGGGTCCCAGATGACTTGAGAGTGATTGACAGTTTGAAAAAATATATATTTTCGGTGTTTTCTGACTGCTGGGTTTAGGCCATTTTGTTTTGATTGGGGGCAGTTTGGTAGTGCAATTAACTATCCCTCGCAATTGCACTGGATGCGGGGAATTAATTCAAACAGCTTGCGTGCCAGAAGCAGAGTCAAGAATCACGTATAACGACTTGTATACAGCATGTTTGGACAGTCAAAGTTTGTCTTGGAGCCGGGCGACTCAAGAGAAATCATGGGACCATAGCACTCCACTGCCATGCACTGCTTTCTACTCCGGTGAGTATCGCTGGCTTGGTGGTGTTAGTCCCAGCCCATCCCTGGAGAGCAGGAGGGTAGTCAACAGGTAGCTTAGCAGTTTCAAAAAGGTGTTGAAGGACTTGTTTGTTACTCCCAAGTGATTCAGTCAAGTAGGAAGCGAGGTAGACTTTGTCATTAATCAGGACATCATGCTGTGTACTGTCCGGAGATGGCATTTCCCGACGCCGACAGTAGATTGATTGTGTCATCCCAGCAAGGATGCACTGAGATTATCAGTAGAGCACAGCTACCTAGCTGACAATTGTGTCCATGTACTGGAGATAAAACGCATAATTGCGCTTTAAATCTTTTCAAGTTATTTAGCTGGGGTCAGCGTACACAACCTGGTCTCAGAGCATTTTGTATTATTCTGTATTATTTGTATTATTCTGTACCTAAATCCGAGACACTCGGATTTTGCCTTAAATAACCAGATGGTTATTTAAGGCAAAACGAAAGGCGGGTGGTTGGTCGGAGTGGTCATATAACGCGAATGTCTAGCAACCTAAAGGTTGCGAGTTTGAATCTCATAACGGACAACTTTAGCATTTTAGCTAATTAACAACTTTTCAATTACTTACTACTTTTTAGCTACTTTGCAACTACTTAGAATGTTAGCTAACCCTTCCCCTAAACTTAACCCTTTTAGCTAACCCTTCCCCTAACCCTAATCTTAACCATCTAACCTAACTCCTAAACTTAACCCTAAACTTAACACTAACCCCTAACCCTAACCCCTAGCCTTGCTAACATTAGCGAGCTAGCTAACATTAGCCACCTACCTAGAATTCTTAAAATATCATACATTTGCAAATTCGTAACATATTGTACGTTTGCAAATATATTGTAGTTTGCTAATTCACAACATATAATATGAATTGTAATTCGTAACATATCAGATGAAATGGGTGATGGATATCAACAAATTAATGCATATCATACGAAACATAACATATCATACTGAAAGGAGTGTCTTGGATTTACGTACAGAATAATACGAAATGCTCTGAGACTAGGTTAGCGTACACCTGATCTTTTAGATAAAATAACAGAATATGGAGGAGAAAGATCTGCTATCTTTCTTTACAGTATTAGGAGAACCAATAAGTTGAATACTTATTGACTCAAGCTTTTCATTTTTTATTAACTTGTACAAATTTCTACAAACATAATTCCACTTTGACATTATGGGGTATTGTGTGTAGGCCAGTGACACAAAATGTAAATATAATCCATTTTAAATTCAGGCTGTAACACAACAAAATGTGGAAAAGGTCAAGGGGTGTGACGTGTGAACACTTCCTGAAGGCACTGTATGTAGCACTAAGGAATAAAAAGGAGGGTTATGTTGCCCCCTTGTGGCTGCCTGGAGCAGATGTCACTTACCATGCCCCGCCCATTCTGGCTTCTCAGAGTTCCGTTGGCTTCGCTCAATGTTCCCCATCCTGAGAACCCTCCCCCTCCTGAGGAGGACACCTGGTTGACCTGGGGAGAGATGGAGGGTGAGTACTGAGACAGGGGCACAACTGCCATTATACATGATATACCTTATAATGTACACTATATGTACCAAAAGTATATGGATTTGCCTAATTCAGCCACACCCGTTGCTGACAGGTGTATGAAATCGAGCACACAGCCATAAAATCTCCATAGACAAACATTGGCAGTAGAATGGCCATACTGAAGAGCTCAGTGACTTTCAACGTGGCACCGTCATAGGATGCCACCTTTCCAACAAGTCAGTTCGTCAAATTTCTGCCCTGCTAGAACTGCCCCGGTCAACTGTAAGTGCTGTTATTGTGAAGTGGAAATGTCTAGGAGCAACAGCGGCTCAGCCACGAAGTGGTAGGTCACACAAGCTCACAGAACAGGACCGCCAAGTGCTGAAGCGCGCAGCAAGTAAAAATTTCCTCGGTTGTAACACTCACTACCGAGTTCCAAACTGCTTCTTGAAGCTATGACAGCACAATAACTGTTAATCGGGAGCCTCATGAAATGGGTTTCCATGGCCAAGCAGCCGCACACAAGCCTAAGATCACCATGCGCAATGCCAAGCATCGGCTAGAGTGGTGTAAAGCTCACCGCCATTGGACTCTGGAGCCGCCATTGGACTCCGGAGCAGTGGAAACAAGTACTCTGGAGGGATGAATCAAGCTTCACCATCTAGCAGTCCGACGGATGAATCTGGGTTTTCCAGATGCCAGGAGAACGCTACCTGCCCGAAAGCATCGTGTCAACTGTAAAGTTGGGTGGAGGAATAATGGTCTGGGGCTGTTGTTCATGGTTCGGGCTAAGCCCCTTAGTTCCAGTGATGGGAAATGTTAACGCTACAGCATACAATGAATGACATTCTAGACGATTCTGTACTTCTAACTTTGTGGCAACAGTTTGGGGAAGGCCCTTTCCTGTTTCAGCATAACCATGCCCCCGTGCACAAATTGAGGTCCATACAGAAATTGTTGACTGGCCTTATCAGAGCCCTGACCTCAACCCCATCGAACACCTTTGGGATAAATTGGAACGCCGACTGTGAGCCAGGCCTAATCACCAACGTCAGTGCCTGACCTCACTAATGCTCTTGTGGCTGAATGGAAGCAAGTCCCTACAGCAATGTTCCAACATCTAGTGGAAAGCCTTCCCAGAAGAGTGGAGGCTGTTATAGCAGCAAAGGGGGGACCAATTCCATATTAATGCCCATGATTTTGGAATGAGATGTCCGACGAGCAGGTGTCCACATACTTTTGGTAATGTAGTGTACACTGATGCCCTACTCCATCAGCTGACTGAATTGTGTACCACTGTTTTCACCACTACCTTGTTGAGCTAAGTAATGCCATGATATGCACAAGTTAGATAATGACATAGTAATAATGTAAATGCACAAAGTGCAAAATGAAAGTATAACTAAGGACTATAGAGTTGTATTGTGTTTTGCACACTGTGATGTAGTATCACTCAAGGTAGAACTATGGAAAGTATACTACTGAGACAGGTAGAAAGAGCATGTAAGGTCTTTACTCTTTGAGACATCACTCATAAATAGTTGACACAGGTCAAAGACAATGCTATTCAGTGCTATTGAACAGAGATAGTACAACTGGTCCAAGCTGTAGTAGATAAAACATTGGCAATTTACAAAGTTCCCCACACTTGAGCTAGGGCAGGGCTCTCCAACCCTGTTCCTGGAGAACTACCCTCCTGTAGGTTTTCACTCCGACTCCAGTTGTAACTAACCTGATTCAGCTAATCAACCAGCTAATTGTTAGAATCAGGTGTGCTTGATTAGGGTTGGAGTGAAAACCAACAGGACAGTAGCTCTCCAGGGAAAAGGGAAAAGTATTTCAAAGATATTTTAAAACACAACAAGTTTTAAAACATAGCATTGATGTTTCCATTACGCAGAATTTAGGCTGAAACCTCAATGCTTGAAAAATCAGCGAGCATTTGGCCTCCCTTGATAAAAAAAGTATAAAATAATAGCCAATAGCTAAACTGAGTGAGCTCAAATGTGAATGGTCCTGGCGCACCAAAGAAAAGTGTCAAGGGAAGCCAGTTTGGATTTGGCTTCACTCCAATCACATCACATCGAGAGCAATACGTCATTGACAGAAACAACTTGAATTGTTGCCTCTTGCTGTGTTGTTGTACTCCGGTGGCTAGCTAGATAGCTATAATTGTCCCTTTCATAAATTAGCCATGGATGGACTTGTGGCTTTACTTCATTCTCCACACTGGCTAATAATTATAATGGTGATTCTGATCCAACCATACATTCATACATTGTGCCCCTTGCCTGAGAGGATGGGAGTTCAATATGTAGCTAGATGTTGAAGGCAATGTTAACTAGCTAATGTTGCCTATGAAAGGAAGTTAGGCTAGCGAGCAAGCATTTTAGCCAGGTAGCCTAGGACAACAAAAAATAAATGCTTGTATTGTATGACGGTTGAGGTTGGACAGGGTCATAGACTTTCATGTTTTGTCATCATGAAAGAGAGGAGGATGGCGTTGGCATTTCTCTAGAAGTAGGGTGAGTCAGCATGTTTTTTCTACTTGCACGAACGCATACGCAGAACACACACACACACACACACACTCAGAAATCATGGACAGTCTTTGTGTTTCTAAATCAATAGTGTTTAGTAGTCCGAAAATGTCAGAAACATTAACTTGCTTTACCATGCTATAGGTCATGTAACTGTTTGTTACATGCAAAATGCTTTGTGGACTTCACCGGACAGAGGTTGATCTCTGTGGTTGAATTTATTCTGCCCCTGTGTCTTCTTATTGTCTTGGCATTAGGCTTATATATCACGGTCGCAAGACATATGAACTAACAGGGTATAGAGCAAACAACACAATTATCACAACACATATGTTGTAATATGGCTTTTTTTTCTGGCTTCACTTCCCCAGTGATTTTACCCACACACAGCTACTGCCCTTGGGGTCCCAAGGACCGAGTTTGGAAAATCCTGTTCTAGTTCATTATCACATGACCACTCAATTTGTTTACATCGGATATGTTCTTTAATGTAAATCATCAGACCCCCTCCTCTTCCTACAATCCTCTCTCCTGAAAACATTGTAGACGGGCACAATCAAAGCAGCAAATGGAACATTTTTATGGAGCCATGTCTCTGAAAGGCAGAGGAAGTCAAGGTTGGAGTCCTTGAAAAGATGTTGAATTCGACAACTTTTTGGAATGACACTGCGAATGTTCACGTACCCCCCTAGTAGTCCCTTGGGCTTAGCTCGTGGGTCCCAGATGACTTGAGAGTGATTGACAGTTTGAAAAAATATATATTTTCGGTGTTTTCTGACTGCTGGGTTTAGGCCATTTTGTTTTGATTGGGGGCAGTTTGGTAGTGCAATTAACTATCCCTCGCAATTGCACTGGATGCTGGGAATTAATTCAAACAGCTTGCGTGCCAGAAGCAGAGTCAAGAATCACGTATAATGACTTGTATACAGTATGTTTGGACAGTCAAAGTTTGTCTTGGAGCCGGGCGACTCAAGAGAAATCATGGGACCATAGCACTCCACTGCCATGCACTGCTTTCTACTCCGGTGAGAATCGCTGGCTTGGTGGTGTTAGTCCCAGCCCATCCCTGGAGAGCAGGAGGGTAGTCAACAGGTAGCTTAGCAGTTTCAAAAAGGTGTTGAAGGACTTGTTTGTTACTCCCAAGTGATTCAGTCAAGTAGGAAGCGAGGTAGACTTTGTCATTAATCAGGACATCATGCTGTGTACTGTCCGGAGATGGCATTTCCAGACGCCGACAGTAGATTGATTGTGTCATCCCAGCAAGGATGCACTGAGATTATCAGTAGAGCACAGCTACCTAGCTGACAATTGTGGCCATGTACTGGAGATAAAACGCATAATTGCGCTTTAAATCTTTTCAAGTTATTTAGCTGGGGTCAGCGTACACAAACTGGTCTCAGAGCATTTTGTATTATTCTGTACCTAAATCCGAGACACTCTATTAAGCCAGATGGTTATTTAAGGCAAAACGAAAGGCGGGTGGTTGGTCGGAGTGGTCATATAACGCGAATGTCTAGCAACCTAAAGGTTGCGAGTTTGAATCTCATAACGGACAACTTTAGCATTTTAGCTATTTAACAACTTTTCAATTACTTACTACTTTTTAACTACTTTGCAACTACTTAGAATGTTAGCTAACCCTTCCCCTAAACTTAACCCTTTTAGCTAACCCTTCCCCTAACCCTAATCTTAACCATTTAACCTAACTCCTAAACTTAACCCTAACCTTAACCCTAACCCCTAACCCTAACCCCTAGCCTTGCTAACATTAGCGAGCTAGCTAACGTTAGCCACCTAGCTAGAATTCTTAAAATATCATACATTTGCAAATTCGTAACATATTGTACGTTTGCAAATATATTGTAGATTTGCTAATTCACAACATATAATATGAATTGTAATTCGTAACATATCAGATGAAATGGGTGATGGATATCAACAAATTAATGCATATCATACGAAACATAACATATCATACTGAAAGGAGTGTCTCGGATTTACGTACAGAATAATACGAAATGCTCTGAGACTAGGTTAGCGTACACCTGATCTTTTAGATAAAATAACAGAATATGGAGGAGAAAGATCTGCTATCTTTCTTTACAGTATTAGGAGAACCAATAAGTTGAATACTTATTGACTCAAGCTTTTCATTTTTTATTAACTTGTACAAATTTCTACAAACATAATTCCACTTTGACATTATGGGGTATTGTGTGTAGGCCAGTGACACAAAATGTAAATATAATCCATTTTAAATTCAGGCTGTAACACAACAAAATGTGGAAAAGGTCAAGGGGTGTGACGTGTGAACACTTCCTGAAGGCACTGTATGTAGCACTAAGGAATAAAAAGGAGGGTTATGTTGCCCCCTTGTGGCTGCCTGGAGCAGATGTCACTTACCATGCCCCGCCCATTCTGGCTTCTCAGAGTTCCGTTGGCTTCGCTCAATGTTCCCCATCCTGAGAACCCTCCCCCTCCTGAGGAGGATACCTGGTTGACCTGGGGAGAGATGGAGGGTGAGTACTGAGACAGGGGCACAACTGCCATTATACATAATATACCTTATAATGTACACTATATGTACCAAAAGTATATGGATTTGCCTAATTCAGCCACACCCGTTGCTGACAGGTGTATGAAATCGAGCACACAGCCATAAAATCTCCATAGACAAACATTGGCAGTAGAATGGCCATACTGAAGAGCTCAGTGACTTTCAACGTGGCACCGTCATAGGATGCCACCTTTCCAACAAGTCAGTTCGTCAAATTTCTGCCCTGCTAGAACTGCCCCGGTCAACTGTAAGTGCTGTTATTGTGAAGTGGAAATGTCTAGGAGCAACAGCGGCTCAGCCACGAAGTGGTAGGTCACACAAGCTCACAGAACAGGACCGCCAAGTGCTGAAGCGCGCAGCAAGTAAAAATGATCTGTCCTCGGTTGTAACACTCACTACCGAGTTCCAAACTGCCTCTGGAAGCTATGACAGCACAATAACTGTTAATCGGGAGCCTCATGAAATGGGTTTCCATGGCCAAGCAGCCGCACACAAGCCTAAGATCACCATGCGCAATGCCAAGCATCGGCTAGAGTGGTGTAAAGCTCACTGCCATTGGACTCTGGATCCGCCATTGGACTCCGGAACAGTGGAAACGAGTACTCTGGAGGGATGAATCACGCTTCACCATCTGGCAGTCCGACGGATTAATCTGGGTTTTCCGGATGCCAGGAGAGCACTACCTGCCCGAAAGCATCGTGCCAACTGTAAAGTTTGGTGGAGGAATAATGGTCTGGGGCTGTTGTTCATGGTTCGGTCTAAGCCCCTTAGTTCCAGTGTTGGGAAATGTTAACGCTACAGCATACAATGAATGACATTCTAGACGATTCTGTACTTCTAACTTTGTGGCAACAGTTTGGGGAATGCCCTTTCCTGTTTCAGCATAACCATTCCCCTGTGCACAAATTGAGGTCCATACAGAAATTGTTGACTGGCCTTATCAGAGCCCTGACCTCAACCCCATCGAACACCTTTGGGATAAATTGGAACGCCGACTGTGAGCCAGGCCTAATCACCAACGTCAGTGCCTGACCTCACTAATGCTCTTGTGGCTGAATGGAAGCAAGTCCCTACAGCAATGTTCCAACATCTAGTGGAAAGCCTTCCCAGAAGAGTGGAGGCTGTTATAGCAGCAAAGGGGGGACCAATTCCATATTAATGCCCATGATTTTGGAATGAAATGTCCGACGAGCAGGTGTCCACATACTTTTGGTCATGTAGTGTACACTGATGCCCTACTCCATCAGCTGACTGAATTGTGTAACACTGTTGTCACCACTACCTTGTTGAGCTAAGTAATGCCATGATATGCACAAGTTAGATAATGACATAGTAATAATGTAAATGCACAAAGTGCAAAATGAAAGTATAACTAAGGACTATAGAGTTATATTGTGTTTTGCACACTGTGATGTAGTATCACTCAAGGTAGAACTATGGAAAGTATACTACTGAGACAGGTAGAAAGAGCATGTAAGGTCTTTACTCTTTGAGACATCACTCATAAATAGTTGACACAGGTCAAAGACAATGCTATTCAGTGCTATTGAACAGAGATAGTACAACTGGTCCAAGCTGTAGTAGATTAAACATTGGCAATTTACAAAGTTCCCCACACTTGAGCTAGAGCTGGGCTCTCCAACCCTGTTCCTGGAGAGCTACCCTCCTGTAGGTTTTCACTCCGACTCCAGTTGTAACTAACCTGATTCAGCTAATCAACCAGCTAATTGTTAGAATCAGGTGCGCTTGATTAGGGTTGGAGTGAAAACCAACAGGACAGTAGCTCTCCAGGGAAAAGGGAAAAGTATTTCAAAGATATTTTAAAACACAACAAGTTTTAAAACATAGCATTGATGTTTCCATTACGCTGAATTTAGGCTGAAACCTCAATGCTTGAAAAATCAGGTTTGTAATCAAGGCTGTCACTCACCATGGTCCTCCCTGTTGTTCTGTGCATCTCATTGGTCTTTTGGGTCATCTCATTGGTCTCCTGAGTAAACTGTCCAATCAGAGCAGAGAATCAAGCACAGCATAAATAGCCTATGCTGAGTACCCAACAACCGGATGTTCCGGTTTTCAGGAGATATGGAAAGAGAGCTTTTGGACCTTAACAAGGCAACACTCCATCTTAACTTAACTGGATTGGTTGAACAGTGCAGAAGAGTACTTCCCCCGACAGTTTTTTTTCTTCTTGTCAAGACCAGTATGTAGACCAACCCTGTTCCTGGAGAGCTACCCTCCTGTAGGTTTTTGCTCCAACCCCAGTTGTAACTAACCTGGTTCAGCTTATCATCCAGCTAATTAGAATCAGGTGTGCTAGATTAGGGTTGGAGTGAAAACCTACAGGACGGTAGTTCTCCAAGAACAGGGTTGGAGAGCCCTGATGTAGGGGATTTAGTTTCAGGCATTTATTTTAAACAACAAGGATTTAGACTGTGATCACTGTGTTGTAGTGAAATGGTGGAAGATGGAGTACAGATGTTGGATCTTAATTTGATCACCCTTTTGCAGTAGAACTGCAGGAAATGTAAAAATTGTGGTGTATTTGTGGTTTAAAAAGGCGTTTGTAATTTCCACTTTTAAATTACAGACTTAATTTTCCCTTCCAAAAACTGATAGCCCTTTATAATACCTCCACATAATAAAACATTTATAATGGATTAGTAAATAGTTTATTCATCATTTATTAATCTTATGAATCATTATTAAATACTTTAAACATTGTTTATAAATGTGTAAATAACTAGGTTACTAACATTTACAAATGTGGGAGTAATGATTCATAAATGATGAATAAACTATTTACTAATGCATTATAATTACGTGGAGTTATTATAAAGTGCTACCCAAAAAATGTGTCAACCCCTACAAAAATTTATATTAATTATAATCCACATAATAATTCACATTTCCTGTTGCTGTTGGATTATTTTCCTGCTGTAGCAAACTGGCTCAGATTAAGATACTACTTCTGAATAAAGTAACTAGTCTTGTTGTTGTTGGTGAAAGAGTTAATAATATGATATATGTGGAGTAGCAGTTCTCTCACAGTGGCTAAATGCAGAGGTGGTAGTGTAGCAGATAGAGAGGTGTAGCAGATAGCGAGGTAAGGTAGATTGTAAGTAGTTCTGTTCAACAGTAGAGCTATCTTACAGTTCTACATTGGCAAGCTGATGGCATGCTTTTTTCCATCCTTTTTAGGAAACCATCATTAAAGATGATGCACTGTTTAATAATTTTGCGCCCTCATAAATCTTCTAAATCTCACTAATGTTCTCTAGTCATCTTACTTTACTATGCCCTCTAGTGCACACTGTGCCCTACACAATCCACTATTTTAAATATCTTAGTTCACATTACTTCACATTACTTCACAATTCAATCAATCAAATTTGATTTATAAAGCCCTTTTTACATCAGCAGATGTCACAAAGTGTTATACAGAAACCCAGCCTAAAACCCCAAACAGCAAGCAATGCAGATGTAGAAGCACAGCACATATTATCCCGTACGCTCCATACATCTCTAGTACACACTACTGTGATATGCCTAACACATGGCTCTTTAGTATTCATGTCTGTACTGTACTATTTTTGTGATTCAGTTTTCGGTACTTTTACCCCTAATTTCGTGATATCCAATTGGTAGTTACAGTCTTGTCCCATCGCTGCATCTCCCCTACGGACTCGGGAGAGGCAAAGGTCGAGAGCCATGTGTCCTCCGAAACACAACCCTGCCAAGCCGCACTGGTTCTTGACACAATGCTCGCTTAACCCGGAAGCCAGCCGCACCAATGTGTCGGAGGAAACACTGTCCAACTGGCAATTAGCGTCAGCTTGCAGGTCCCCGGCCCGCCACAAGGAGTCACTAGAGTGCGATGGGACAAAGAAATCCCAGCCGGCCAAACCCTCCCCTAACCCGGACGACACTGGGCCAATTGTGTGCCGGCTCATGGGTCTCCCGGTCACGATGCAGTGCCTTAGACCGCTGCGCCACTCGGGAGGCTGCTGTCTCTACTGTATTCTATACTTAATACAAAAGACAAGTCATCCAAGCCGATCAACTAGGCCTACAGGTATTTACAAGCAAATGTAACTGCCACCGTTTCCTGGGCCTCTAACACATTCTTTGAGCAGACTAGTTCATCTTCCCTGAGCAGTCAAACTAAATATGGAAGTGTGGTTTGGAGAATGTGGTCAGTGTTGTAGGCCTACTCATTCTGCATGTGGCACATATGCTCATGAGTCACGAGTCACACCCAAATATGTATGTGAGCTATTTTACGCTCTCTCATTGGTACAATAGAAAATAAATGATGCTAGTGGTGACAGAACCTGCTTCCTTCAGTGCTTTCCATACATAAAGTACATATTAGAGGGAAGCACACACCCTACACAGAAACCACTAATTACCTGGAACTGTCATGGTATTAATGACTTCTACTAACCCTTTTCCTCCATCACGGTTCACCTCATACACTCTCTCACACACAACTTCACCTAACCATGCAGAACACACACACACAACATTAAAAAACCTCAAACCGTGCTGTGACCATAGACCGTTTATAAATAAAGTTTGTGACGCAGAAAGAGATTAGTTAAAGAAAAATATGAAAAAGAAGAAGAGAGGAAAGTAAGGATAGTGGCCAGTTTACCTTTTTGCCGGGGGTGGCCTGCTTCACTCCATCTACCAAGTCCACGGCTACACGGTTGGAAATGGTGCGAGTCATGCTCAGCATGGGCTCACTCTAAGAGAGAGGGACAGGAGGAGAGAGAGAGGAGAAGGGGAAAGAAGGAGGGTAGGGGCATGAGAGAGGAGGAGTGGATGCAGGAGAGGTGAGTAGAGAGGATTGGAAAATAAGAGGAGTTTAGGAAAGCAGTGGAGGAAAGAGAAGGAGAAAAGGGGTGAGGAGAGAAGTGAACGTAAAAGAGGAAATGACAAGAACAATTCAAGTAATTACAAGATGAAACATGTCAGATTACATACAGAGCCTTTCACGTACCAGAGGAAGAACACCGATCTTGCCATCAGTACATACCAACCCAGACCTGTCATACCCAGAACTGTCATACCCAGAACTGTCATACCCAGAACTGTCATACCCAGATCTGTCATACTCAGACCTGTCATACCCAGACCTGTCATACTCAGACCTGAAATACTCAGACCTGTCATACCCAGAACTGTCATACTCAGTCCTGTCATACCCAGAACTATCATACCCAGAAATGTCATACTCAGTCCTTTCATACCCAGAACTGTCATACCCAGACCTGTCATGCTCAGACCTGAAATACTCAGACCTGAAATACTCAGACCTGTCATACTCAGAACTGTCATACTCAGACCTGTCATACCCAGAACTGTCATACCCAGACCTGTCATACCCAGAATTGTCATACGCAGAACTGTCATACTCAGACCTGTCATACTCAGACCTGTCATACCCAGAACTGTCATACCCAGAACTGTCATACTCAGACCTGTCATACTCAGAACTGTCATACTCAGACCTGTCATACTCAGACCTGTCATACCCAGACCTGTCATACTCAGAACTGTCATACCCAGAACTGTCATACTCAGACCTGTCATACCCAGAACTGTCATACCCAGACCTGTCATGCTCAGACCTGAAATACTCAGACCTGAAATACTCAGACCTGTCATACCCAGAACTGTCATACTCAGACCTGTCATACCCAGAACTGTCATACCCAGACCTGTCATACCCAGAATTGTCATACGCAGAACTGTCATACTCAGACCTGTCATACTCAGACCTGTCATACCCAGAACTGTCATACCCAGAACTGTCATACTCAGACCTGTCATACTCAGAACTGTCATACTCAGACCTGTCATACTCAGACCTGTCATACCCAGACCTGTCATACTCAGAACTGTCATACCCAGAACTGTCATACTCAGACCTGTCATACTCAGACCTGTCATACCCAGAACTGTCATACTCAGACCTGTCATACTCAGACCTGTCATACTCAGAACTGTCATACTCAGACCTGTCATACTCAGACCTGTCATACCCAGAACTGTCATACTGAGACCTGTCATACTCAGACCTGTCATACTCAGACCTGTCATACCCAGAACTGTCATACTCAGACCTGTCATACTCAGACCTGTCATACTCAGACCTGTCATACTCAGACCTGTCATACCAGACTCAATGACCAGAATAATGTAAGCACATGACAGCTCAGTAAGGGATTGTATTGTACACTCCTGCCTGTGTGCTGAACACCCCAAACAGTGCATATTGTGTACAAATAGACATCTAATGTTATTCCTACGCACACACACAGAGATGCGCATTTGAGCACACACTTGCACACGCACTCACATGCGCACACACACACCCACACACACCTTGCATGCGGAGCTCCCTCCCTCCTCGTTGTATTTGATAAGAGTCTGGTTTCCCTCATCTTGCAGATTGAGGGGGAGGTGTGTGAACGTCTTACCACCACACTCACACAGCAGGAGGAAAAGCAGTAGCACTGGGAGAGGGACACAACCACAGAGTCACTACAAACAGTCATACGTGTAACATAGCATTTTACCATACAAACAACTCATAGATGTTTAAAGTCATGTTTGTATAACACTTCATAGCATGTCATTGCTATATTACTGCTATCTATCAACATGTTTTAACAATATTGCATCACAAGTTTGATCTCATTTCGACAGATGTGATTTTGTTTAGACTGAATTGGTATCTCTCTTAATTTTCTCCACTCCAGATTTCAGTTCTAAGAGTGTCTGAGTAACTGATTTACTGATTATCCACCTACTCTCTACCTCTCCCTTATCTCTATCTACAGTAATCCATATCTATTCACTTCTAACTCACGGAAGAGGAGCAGCAGTCCAGCCAGCAGTAGTCCTATAGCCGCCAAGCCCAGGCTGGAGGTCCGGGGCAGAGAGGCCCTACACTTATCCCCTCCCTCACAGTCACACACCATAACCTGGACAGTTTCATTTACAACTAGCCCCTGCTGGTCCTGGATCACGAGAGGCACCGTGTAGTTACCGTACGGCAGGCTCTTCAGACTGACCAGACCCGCCTCCATACCTGACCACCGGGGAGAAAGAGAGAGAGGGGTGGAAGGGAGTTAATGATATTCATTTTTGTGCCGCTTTGAAGGACCTGACATCTGAGTAATTGTATTTATTAGGTCAGTAGGTTGTGTTGAGATGTGCTGAAATGTCCATGTATATTTATGGACTTTGGAAGAGGTCTGTAACTGCTATACAGCCTTTCAGCTGTGTATGGAAATAGTAGATTACTATATATCAGAATAAAAGCAGTGCTTTGGTGTGTGTGTATATGGGTGTGTGCGATTCTGCTAACCATTGGCAGGGTCCAGTTTCCAGCGGCTCTTCAGTGCTTTGTCTCCGTGGTCCGCTCCAAGGGAGAGGTAACAGGGACATCCAAAGGGAGGGATGTCCTTGTCTGCTAACGGCACAATCACCTTGTTACCACACATCACCAGCTTCTTCTCCACCACATAGGGTGTGTTATCATTGATATCCCCCAGGTGGACCAGAATAGTGCCTGTAGCTGTGGCAGGGGGCTCGCCTGAGAGAAGAAGACAGAGACTTTGAATACTTTATTATGCTCAATACCGTACACATATGCGTACGTACACACACAGCTGCATGCATGCTCACACGCACGCAGTCTCGCACGCATGCGAACACACGAACACACGCACACACACAGACACAAACACACACACACATACACACTACACACTAACCGTTGTCTATGGCTTGGATTAGGACAGTGTAGATGTTGTCTTTGTTGACGTGAGGTGACTCCCGGTCCATCTTCTTCACTGTAGTAACCACTCCTGTCTTGGGATCTATGGTGACCCAGCCTGCTGGGTCGTCAACTAACTCATACCTGGTCAGGACATGGAGAGGACAGACGGACAGGTAGACCGGCAGACAGGTCAACACATGGCTTTTCTCTATATTGTCATAAGTAATAATGGTGAAACCAACACAAATAACCCAGAGGCTTCAAATAATATGCAGATGCTTAATGTGAACACATACATGCAATATACACTACATGGCCAAAAGTATGTGGACGCCTGCTAGTCGAACATCTCATTCCAAAATCATGGGCATTAATATGGAGTTGGTCCCCCCTTTGCTGCTATTACAGCCGTCACTCTTCCAGGAAGGCTTTCCACTAGATGTTGGAACATTGCTGCAGGGACTTGCTTCCATTCAGCCACAAGAGCATTAGTGATGTCGGGCACTGATGTTGGACGATTAGGCCTGGCTTGCAGTTGGTGTTCCAATTCATCCCAAAGGTGTTCAATGGGGTTGAGGTCAGAGCTCTGTGCAGGCCAGTCAAGTTCTTCCACACTGATCTCGACAAACCATTTCTGTATAGACCTCGCTTTGTGTAATGGGGCATTGTCATGCTGAAACATTTAAGGGCCTTCTCCAAACTGTTGCCACAAAGTTGGAAGCACAGAATCGTCTAGAATGTCATTGTATGCTGTAGCGTTAAGATTTCCCTTCACTGGAACTACGGGGCCTAGCCCGAACCATGAAAAACAGCCCCAGACCATTATTCCTCCTCCACCAAACTTTACAGTTGTCACTATGCATTGGGGCAGGTAGCATTCTGCCAGATGGTGAAGCGTGACTCACCACTCCAGAGAACGCATTTCCAGTGGCGGTGAGCTTTACACCACTCCAGCCGTCAATTGGCATTGCGCATGGTGATTTTAGGCTTGTCTGCGGCTGCTCGGCCATGGAAACCCATTTCATGAAGCTTCCGACGAACAGTTAGTGTGCTGACATTGCTTCCAGAGGCAGTTTGGAACTCGGCAGTGAGTGTTGCAGCCGAGGACAGACGATTTTTACACGCTCCTAGATGTTTCCACTTAACAATAAGAGCACTTACAGTTGACCGGGGCAGCTCCAGCAGGGCCGGAATTTGAGAAACTGACTTGTTGGAAAGGTGGCATCCTATGACGGTGCTACGTTGAAAGTCACTGAGCTCTTCAGTAAGGCCATTCTACTGCCAGTGTTTGTCTATGGAGATTGCATGGCTGTGTGCTCGATTTTATACACCTGTCAGCAATAGGTGTGGCTGAAATAGCCGAATCCACTCATTTGAAGGGGTGTCCACATACATTTGTATATATAGTGTAAGTTGCGGGAATCAATATCACAACCTCGGGTGAATGAAGAATCATTATGATGTTTCTGAGGCATAACATGTTATGCCACCCACCTGATTTTTTCCACATCTGAGTCAACGTCGGTGATCTTGGGTTTGTACAGCACTTTCCCCTTCTCCTCCTGCTCTTCCTTTGCATACACGTCTGTCACTTTCCTGTCAAACATCGGGGGGTCGTTCACGTCAATCACCTTCACAGTCACGTTGACTGTCTGGGGGGGCACGGTCAGGGGCTTAGCAGTGGACACGGCCCCTCCGGAGCTACACACAAACAAAGGCTCCTCGTTCGCCACGGCGATCTGCACATTGGTCAACGTTGTCTTTTCCTTAATATTCTTTCCCTGAAAAATTTTGTCCCGTACTTATGTTAGAGCAATACAAGTCAGTACAATACACTATTACAGCAGAAAACAGTCAATCATCACAATAACTGTTCAATCACCGCACTTCAAAAAGAGGGCTCGCAATTTTAACCAATCACTGCACTTTTACTGCACAAAATGTTTCAATCAAGCAACACAAATGTTTTCCCTTGTCAGTGTATTTTTGTGACAAATTGCACAAAATCATCACAAATTGCCATGCAAAATGTCTTTATTGAAGCAGCAAAATCAAGCATTTTGGAATGCAACTATCACAAAAACTCTGCGAAATCCTGGAGGGACTGACTAAGTGATGTTCATGCTCAGAACTTTGTTAGCCTACTCATGTAAGGTCATAAGGTCAAACAGACTCACCTTGATGACAGTCAGTATACCCTCGTTGGTCTTGGGGTCGGTCTCAATCTTATAGTTTCCTTCCTCGTTCCCCTTCACAATGGAGTAAACGGCTCGCCATGCGGTGGTGTTGGGGGTGTCTGCATCAGTCACAGCCACTCGGAGTATCTCTTTATTGGATTCCATCTCCATCATGTGAGCATTGTACTGTACAGAAATATGGTAAAGTAAGTATTTGTGTTTCACAAATCAATAAATAAATGTTCAATCAATCAATCAATTGTTCAATTGTTCAAACACCCGATCAACCAACAAATCATTGAATCAATCAACCAGTCAACCAATCAACCAACTTGGAACTTACGGTCTTGTTTTTGAACACTGGTTGGTGAGTGTTGGAGTCCGTTATTTGGAGGTTGACCACTACAGTTGAGGACAGGGCTGGTATCCCATGATCCCGAGCTTCAACAACCACCTTATACATCTTTGCTTTCTATGTGAACAACAAAATAAATAAAATATTGATCCCACCATTTTACATAAAAGTGTAGATTGTGTGCGTGTGTGTGCATCAAGTTTGTGTGTGTGTGTTTGCACATGCTGTATGTAATGGTGTGTGTGTGTGTGTATGTGTCATAGTGGAGCCTTACGTCATAGTCAAAGCAGCCAGTGAAGGTGAGCTGGCTCATCTTGGTGCCCTCTACCTCCTTCAGGTTGATCTTGGGCTCGGCTGGCTCCTGAGACAACACACTTATACTGATGTTGGAGTTCTGTGTGTTCACCTGATCCATGTCCCTGGCTGTCAGAGGCACTGGCAGATACCCTGAGACAGAGGGTGAGGGAAGGAGGAGAGGAGGGGGAAAGGTGAGGAGGAAGAACAGGAATAGGAGGAGGGGGAGGAGGAGAGGGGAAATTAGTTCCCCTTTACATGTTTGTTCTCTATGCTCAAGAAAGAGCCTCCACTTGACACTTAATTTCCCCAACTGAACGCAACAACTGCCTGGTTCTTGGGCGAACAGTCTAGCTAAGTATACTTTGTGCAAGGTTTATTTCTTTTGATTTACAGCCTTTGTGTGTACTGACCCTCTGGTGTACTCTCTTTTACACTGGCTTCTATGACAGGGTGCTCAAAGTAAGGGGCGTTGTCATTGATGTCCGTAATCGCCACATCGAACGCCAGAGTCTTGTCCACGGGTCTATTAGTCACCTTGTCAATGATGTCAAACATAATCTGTGGGAAATAATGTTAATACTGTTATGTTTAGATATTCCGTTTGTCTGTTTAGATTGTCTGTCTGTCCATCCGTTTGTCTCTGTCTGTTGATGCTTACATGAAAGAAGGGGTGTGTCTCCCTGTCGATAGGCTTGAGTACGTACACCACTCCGTCATTGTCGCCGATGGAGAACACGCCCAGAGGTTCCTCGGTCACTCCCATTCCAGATAAACGGAACTGGTGGCTTTTGAAAAGCTCAGTTCTATCATTGAACATCTGTAAAGACAGCCTTGTTGATGAGCAGTTTTCAGGGCTATGAACACTGGGTCTCTGGTTCAGGAGAAGCCCAAGAGGGGTCCAGGGTTCACAGTAAAGCTTACTACAGAGTTATGTTGGAACTGTTCTTCTGGTGAATGATTATATACTACAGTGCTATGAAAAAGTATTTGCCCCCTTTCTAATTTTCTCTACTTTTGCATATTTGTGATACTGAATGTTATCAGATCTTCAACCAAAACCTAATATTAGATAAAGGGAACATAAGTGAACAAATAACCCAACAATTACATATTGATTTCATTTATTTCATAAACCGTTATGCAACACCCATTTCCCCTGTGTGAAAAAGTAATTGCCCCCTTACACTCAATAACTGGTTGTGCCACCTTTAGCTGCAATGACTCGTATCAAGTCCTGCCACAACATTTCGCCAGGCATAATGGGACCCATCTCGTCCAAAAAGTTGGCTCAAGTTTGCCAAAACGCATCTGGATGATCATCAAGGCTCTTGGAAGAACGTTCTATGGACAGATGATTCAAAAGTATAACTTTTTGGACGACATGGTTCCAGTAATGCCTGGCGAAAACCAAACTCTGCATTCCACAGTAAGAACATCATACCAAAGGTCGAGCATGGTGGTGGTGGTGTGATGGTTTGGGGATGCTTTGCTGCCTCAGGACCTGGACGACTGAAGTCTACATGAAAATTGCTAAAAAGCAACAAATTGGAAGTTTTGGAATGGCCTAGTCAAAGTCCAGACCTAATCCCAATTGAGATGTTGTGGCAGGACTTGAAACGAGCAGTTCATGCTTGAAAACCCACACGTCACTGAGTTAAAGCAGTTCTGCATGGAAGAGTGGGCCAAAATTCCTCCACAGCGACGTGAGAGACTGATCAACAACTACAGGAAGCATTTCGTTGGAGTCATTACCTCATCCCTATATTGTTATTTATTTTGCTCTTTTGCACCCCAGTATCTCTATTTGCACATAATCTCTTGCACATCTAGCATTCCAGTGTTAATACTATTGTAATTATTTTGCACTATAGCCTATTTATTGCCTTACCTCCATAACTTGCTACATTTGCACACACTGTATATATATATATATATATTTTCTGTTGTATTTTTGACTTTATGTTTTTTACCCCATATGTAACTCTGTGTTGTTTTTATCGCACTGCTTTGCTTTATCTTGGCCAGGTCGCAGTTGTAAATGAGAACTTGTTCTCAACTGGCTTACCTGGTTAAATAAAGGTGAAATAAAAAAATAAAATAAAAATAAAGGAGGCACAACCAGTTATTGAGTGTAAGGGGGCAATTACTTTTTCACACAGGGGAATTGGATGTTGCATAACTTTGTTTATGAAATAAATATGTAATTGTTGGGTTATTTGTTCACTTATGTTCCCTTTATCTAATATTAGGTTTTGGTTGAAGATCTGATAACATTCAGTATCACAAATATGCAAAAGTAGAGAAAATTAGAAAGGGGGCAAATACTTTTTCATAGCACTGTATTTATGGGCCCAGTGGTTTTGTACCTTTACTGAGGTAGCATGTCTAGAAAGATTTGTCCTGTTTGTTGCGGTATGATGTTTTTACCTGTGTGGCAAATTTAGGGAAAGGTCCAGGGTCCTCCTCCACTAGCTCAATGGTGGACAGGACCCACCTTCTTTTGGAACGCGCCAGCAGCTCCTTTAGGAAATCAGAGAAGGTGAGGGGAAGAGGGTCATTGTACCTGTGTCTTTAAATCTTTAATTTCTGGAAATGGTCATGACATACCCTCTTTTCCCGCTTGTTCAGTGTATAGTTGCCAGTATCATGTGCCAGTGCTAATGCAACCGTCATGGAGACCTGATGACATAAGAGTGCAAACATGCAATTAGAGAGAATATATTCACAGGTGTGTGTAGTAAAAATACATAAAGATGAAGGTGTGAATCGTTGCAGGAGACAGACCTGTGGGAGCCATCATGATAGTGGGAGAGGTTGGATGTACTGTATAATGGTGTGCGAGTATGTGTGTGTGCGTGCATGATGAGTAATGATGATTGTGGGAAGTACATTATATGCAGCAGGGGATGATTTTATGGAGCCGTGTAAGATAGAGGACATTGACATTCTGTGTATTGTCTGTATTAGTCTCACATGGCAGGAAGTTGCAATGCAAACACATTGCATGATTAACTGCACAGTGTAAATATTATTGTTAAAAACGTATTTTATTTTTCTGCTTATCCACATGTCATTTTCTCTATGATCTTTTGCTCTATCACTTGTTTGTGTTTTGGTGCAACTGCCGTTTGCTCTCATACAGTTAATTGTTTAGTACCACTTTCTATGAAGCAGAAATCTATGATGCATTATAAACACTCATAATGAGTTATAATGCACTAGAAGTCTTTCTCAACTGTGAGGTTGACAGGAAGGAGAGTTTTCTCTACTAGGTCATTCTGTCTGTCGGTGTTTCTCTCTGTTTTTGTCTCTATCTCTCTCTCTCACCCCTTCTCACACCTCTTTTTTAATTGAGTGCTACTTGGAAACCATTGTTGAGTAATCTTTCTGCTTTCCTCTAATTCACCATCTTCATTACGTTGTCATTACATTCTCATGTACCTCAACTACCTCGTAACCCTGCACATTGACACGGTACTTGTACTCCTTATATATTATTGTTTTTATTGTGTTACTATTTCCTTTTTTATTTAGCAAATATTTGTCTGACTTTAACTTTGCATTGTGGGAATGAGCTCGTAAGTAAGTATTTCACTGTAAAGTCTACACTTGTTGTATTCGGCACATGTAATCAATACAATTTTATTTAATTTGATCATAAACCTGTGATATTGAAACAACTGCAATCAGACAACAATGCCCAAATTGCAAGCCATGAAATGGTAAAGAAACCACATAAATCTTATCTTATACACTCTTGGAAAAAAGGGTTCCAAAAAGGTTATTTGGCTGCCCCCATAGAGTAGCACAGTATGAGTCATAATACCCATAAAAACTTGCAGTCAAACAGGAAAATGGTTCCAATCATTTTTCCACCATTCATTTTTCCCATAGGAGATTTTAGAAACACTTCAAATATGGGCTGTGTTTTGTGTAGGCTTACCCTGGCGTGACATTTTGATAACCATGTAAATCACTCTAGGACAAGGTGTGTCACGACCGTCTGAAGGAGCGGACCAATGCGCAGCGTTGCGAGTGAACATGATGACTTTATTAATTAAAGCAACCACGAAGAAAACAACAAATGACGATACGTGAAGTTCAAAATACTGAAACACACTAACAGCAACACAGAAACAATAACCCACAAAACACAAAGGAAAACCGACAGTTTAAATATGGCTCCCAATCAGAGATAACGAGCCGACAGCTGACACTCGTTACCTCCGATTGGGAGTCACTCAGGTACACATAGAAAAAGCACAACTAGACTACCCAACATAGAAAACGAAAACACACCGAAACAAACACACCCTGGCACAACAACACGAGTCCATAGCCAGAGTGTGACAGTACCCCCCTCTAAAGGCGCGGACTGCGACCGCGCCTAACTACGAGCAAACAAGGGAGGGTTGGGTGGGCATTCCTCCTCGGCGGCGGCTCCGGCTCCGGGCTTGATCCCCACCTCCTCTCCAACCCCCCAAAGTACCCCTGGTCCTGTCTAGCCCCGCTGGCCGGAGCCGGACTGACGACACGCGCCCCTGGCTTGGTGCGTGGAGGACGAACGGGCCTTACCAGGCTGACGACGCGCACCACTGCCTTGGCGCGGGGAGCAGGAACGGGCCGGACCGGGCTGACGAAGCGCACCCTTGACTTGGTGCGGAGAGCGGGACCGGGCCGGACAGGGCTGACGAAACGCACCACAGACTTGGTGCGAGTAGCAGGGACGAGCTGAACCAGGCTGACGATTCGCACCCTTGGCTTGGTGCGAGTAGCAGGAACGGGCTGGACCAGGCTGACGGCTCGCACCCTAGGCTTGGTGCGAGTAGCAGGATCGGGCTGGACCAGGCCGACGACTCGTACCCCTGGCTTGGTGCGAGTAGCAGGAACGGGCTGGACCAGGCTGACGACTCGCACCCTTGGCTTGGTGCGAGTAGCAGGAACGGGCTGGACCAGGCTGACGACTCGCACCCTTGGCTTAGTGCGAGTGGCAGGAACAGGCCGGGCCGGGCTGGCGACGCGCACCGTAGGTTTAGTGCGAGTGGCAGGAACAGGCCGGGCCGGGCTGGCGACGCGCACCGTAGGTTTAGTGCGAGTGGCAGGAACAGGCCGGGCCGGGCTGGTGACGCGCACCGTAGGTTTGGTGCGAGTGGCAGGGACAGGCCGGGCTGGGCTGGCGGCGCACACCGTAGGTTTGGTGCGAGTGGCAGGAACAGGTCGGGCTGGGCTGGAGACGCACACCGTAGGCTTTGTGCGTAAAGCAGGAACAGGCCGGGCTGGGCTGACGACGCGCACCACTGCCTTGGTGGGAATGGCAGGAACAGGCCGAACCGTACTGGGGACACAAACCACTGGCTCCACGCAGGGATCAGGAACGGGCCGGACCGGACTGGTAACACATCCCAGTACCTCTCGCCGTGCCTCCACACTTTCCCTCTCCTCTGTGCCCAGTGGCCCCCCTAACCTGGCGGCCCTCTCTGCCAACGCTTTGCACCACTCTAACCCGTACACCTGCTGCCCCGACGTCGTGAGCCCCCCCCTAAAAATTTCCTGGGGGTCTCTCCTCCCCGTGGCCCAGGCCTCTCTCCCTCTTGCCAGACTCGCAATCATCTCCTGCCACGTCCATCCTCTCTCCTCGTCCCGCTGCTTGATCCAGTCGAGGTTTCCACGGCGATCTGCCAGCGATGGCTCCTGAACACGCTGCTTGGTCTGGTTAAGGTGGGTTATTCTGTCACGACCGTCTGAAGGAGCGGACCAATGCGCAGCGTTGCGAGTGAACATGATGACTTTATTAATTAAAGCAACCACGAAGAAAACAACAAATGACGATACGTGAAGTTCAAAATACTGAAACACACTAACAGCAACACAGAAACAATAACCCACAAAACACAAAGGAAAACCGACAGTTTAAATATGGCTCCCAATCAGAGATAACGAGCCGACAGCTGACACTCGTTACCTCCGATTGGGAGTCACTCAGGTACACATAGAAAAAGCACAACTAGACTACCCAACATAGAAAACGAAAACACACCGAAACAAACACACCCTGGCACAACAACACGAGTCCATAGCCAGAGTGTGACAAGGTGACTTTTATCAATATATTCACCTGTATTTACCCCCCCAAAAATGAAATGCTAATTAGTTGCTAATGAGGCTATCATAAAGAACTACAGTGCCTTGCAAAAGTATTCATCCCACTTGGCGTTTTTCCTATTTTGTTGCATTACAACCTGTAATTTAACTGGATTTTTAATTGGATTTCATGTAATGGACATACACAAAATAGTCCAAATTGGTGAAGTGAAATTAAAAAAAGAACTTGTTTCAAAAATTTGAAATAATACATTACGGAAAAGTGGTAAATGCATACAGTGGGGAAAAAAAGTATTTAGTCAGCCACCAATTGTGCAAGTTCTCCCACTTAAAAAGATGAGAGAGGCCTGTAACTTTCATCATAGGTACACGTCAACTATGACAGACAAATTGAGGAAAAAAAATACAGAAAATCACATTGTAGGATTTTTTATGAATTTATTTGCAAATTATGGTGGAAAATAAGTATTTGGTCACCTATAAACAAGCAAGATTTCTAGCTCTCACAGACCTGTAACTTCTTCTTTAAGAGGCTCCTCTGTCCTCCACTCGTTACCTGTATTAATGCCACCTGTTTGAACTTGTTATCAGTATAAAAGACACCTGTCCACAACCTCAAACAGTCACACTCCAAACTCCACTATGGCCAAGACCAAAGAGCTGTCAAAGGACACCAGAAACAAAATTGTAGACCTGCACCAGGCTGGGAAGATTGAATCTGCAATAGGTAAGCAGCTTGGTTTGAAGAAATCAACTGTGGGAGCAATTATTAGGAAATGGAAGACATACAAGACCACTGATAATCTCCCTCGATCTGGGGCTCCACGCAAGATCTCACCCCGTGGGGTCAAAATGATCACAAGAACGGTGAGCAAAAATCCCAGAACCACACGGGGGGACCTAGTGAATGACCTGCAGAGAGCTGGGACCAAAGTAAAAAAGCCTACCATCAGTAACACACTACGCTGCCAGGGACTCAAATCCTGCAGTGCCAGACGTGTCCCCCTGCTTAAAACAGTACATGTCCAGGCCTGTCTGAAGTTTTCTAGAGTGCATTTGGATGATCCAGAAGAGGATTGGGAGAATGTCATATGGTCAGATGAAACCAAAATAGAACTTTTTGGTAAAAACGCAACTCGTCGTGTTTGGAGGACAAAGAATGCTGAGTTGCATCCAAAAAAACACCATACCTACTGTGAAGCATGGGGGTGGAAACATCATGCCCCTTGGTTTGTGCTGTGGTGGAGACCTCTGTGGGCTATACTCGGCCTTGTCTCAGGATTGTAAGTTGGTGGTTGAGGATATCCCTCTAGTGGTGCGGGGGCTGTGCTTTGGCAGAGTGGGTGGGGTTATATCCTTCCTGTTTGGCCCTGTCCGGGGGTTTCTTCGGATGGGGCCACAGTGTCTCCGGACCGCTCCTGTCTCAGCCTCCAGTATTTATGCTGCAGTAGTTTATGTGTCGGGGGGCTGGGGTTAGTTGGTTATACCTGGAGTACTTCTCCTGTCTTATCCAGTGTCCTGTGTGAATTTAAGTATGCTCTCTCTAATTCTCTCGTTCTCTCTTTCTCTCTGAGAAC